AAACTGTAAGTATGAATTTGTTTTTATTTTGAAATTTTAACTTATAAAGACAATGAAACATTTTCCTTTCACAATATCCAATGGATATCATTGAAGAGTGAACTGCTCAGTATTTTGCCCCTGTCTCTATCAATTATGTTGGTTAAAGTTGAATTTTGTTGCCAAAATACACTTCGTTTGATTCACTAAAAATCTGGATAAAATATTTTAATGTAAAAATTAATCGTGAAGCATTGTGAACTTCGAGCTATAAGACGTGACAAATACGAGTCCTACGACAGAGTTTTTTCCTTAATAGAACCCATGTAGTCGATAATGGCAAATAATGTCCATTATTTTCCATTATCTGCTACATGGGAACTGACCTTTAATCTCATTCGTCTCGATTCTACAATACATACATATACAACTAGACTGACATTTCTCGCAACGACTTCCAATGTCTTGTATAATTCATGTATTGCAATTCATTTATCCTTTAATTCTTATGTTAATAATCTATATAATCATTAAGTACATGATTTAAATAAAAATACTTTAGTGTGAAATTAAATATTAAACTCTAAAGAATATCAATAAGGATTTCTTTTAGATGCTTGTGATAAATCAATAGATCGAAACAAAGAACGTGCGAAAGTACTTGCTCATCTAATTTCGATGCCTGTCCAACTCAAATATATTTTACTTGAAAAATTCCAATGGCTTTTACACGTTATTGAATATGTAAGTATCTGTTCTATTTGACGAGCATTCTGCAACTGTTGTTTTTTTTCATTATTTTAAATCCATATAATCTATTTTGTGACTCACTCCTTTTTGGTTTCTGTATTTGAACAGAGTTGTTCTCATATTTTATTTTTAGGCATTTAATGAATTAAAAACGAATGCATTAAGTTCTGTTCGATATACTGAATTTGGTATTCCTAGCTGTAATTGTGGTGGAAATGAATCCACTTATATTGGTAAACATCTGGTACCATTTCTTAAGATGTATATGCCTCATTTACAAACATTACGTCTTTGGCGACCAGACGATTTCGCTTGGACAACTGGTAAATTTATTTTAAATAAGAGAAAATCAATTACAGTGCTTTGACAGATATTTCTGTACGAATATAAATGAAAAATTCCTTTTTTATGATTTAGGAAAACAATTATTCTCAGATTAATTCAATTAAAATTATTCTTTTTTTTACTGAGTATATCTGCGTTAGTAGTGAGTCGATCAAGGGGAAAAGGCGGATTTTTGGGATTTTCAAAATCCCAAATCCGTCTTTTCCCCTTTGAATTCGATGCATCAAACGTAAATTTGGGCATTTTCAAAATCCTCTTTTGTTGTTTAAACGTGTGACTTCGATGGAAAGTAAGCATAATCATAAGCAAAGAGCTTTGGAAAAAGCTTATCAGCATAGCTCTTAATGGGTCACAATGCAGATTTCACATATATCTTCATCACCTTTCTTATATGAATACAATGCTCTATGACAGAAAGAGCAGAGCTCCGCGGGACTCCCAAAATGTTGTCCCATCCTGCCCCGCAGTATTCTAATGTATAAACACAAAATCCTTTCTTTTTATCTAAAAATGTATTTGAAACATGCTAACTAATTCATACTTTCTTGTTCAATGAAACTAATTCGTTTTACTATTTATATATTACACGAGGCCGTTTACATGGAAAAAAATTTCACCACAATGGCATTGACATAAGAAAGTCGCTGTTATAAAAATAAAGAAAAGTCTAATAAGAAACACAAACGAAAGTACTGCTTCTCGAGTATCTGATCTAAGAAAAAATACATCGTTAAGATTTGTTCGGTTAATTCAAGATCTATGCTCCATCATAGTAAAACTAGCTATGAAGGAAGGGGGACGGATTTTGGACCCTAGTGAATCCCATCGATTCTGCTGGATCCTAGAGCTGATTCTCTTGGCAATACCAAATTTTATCAATAATTATTAGAATCCTCATAAATCAATTGAGACATATTAATTCTCGCTGAAATACATTCATCCCAACTATAGTTTAGCAGCGTGCACTGATTTTTAATGAGAAACAATAATGTGAATCCTGATAGATCCTGTTGGATACTGAAGGACTCTTATGGACACCAATGAACGCTAATAAATTGTAAAATATATTTATTAGAATCTAAGGAGAACTATCAGAACTTACTTTAATTGAGTAAACTGCAGTCTACTTTAATTCATCAAACTCTAATTAGGTTTACAATAATTTGCAATCAATGCCGAGAGATGGAACCTGGAGGATCTTACTAGATCCTAGGATTCACCGGAATCCACCTCTCCTCTTTGTCCTCTCCGCATAAATTTACGCACAACCGTTGTTTCTGCTTGTATCAACTTGGCTGGACAGAAAAGTGAATTGATCGGGTTTCGTCCCATCCCATGAGGAATCATGTTCAATCCCGTTCCGTCTGGTCATATTTTCAATTTTATCGTCCCGTCTCGGGACGGGATCGATCCCGCGGAGCTCTGGTTTACACTTTTTTATTTGTCCTTATCTATTAATTTCTACAATACATTTATTAGATAAAATTAAATGATTAAAAAGAGAGAATGGCAGATATATAGATGTTTTTTTGATACATTATGATAAATGAAACAAGATATGTTCAATACGGTTCTTCTCTGAACGACATTTAAAATTTTTAAATCGTTTGTCTTAAGTTCGGATTTTTTTTTTTTTTTGTTTAAGTGCTACCAAATCTACCAGAAGGATATTTTCGTGAGGCTTCCCATCACCCATGGTGGGCAGTTTTATACACACCTGAATTGATAGGTTTGTAAATAAAATAATTCATAATAGAAACTATAAACTCTTTTATTCAGCTCAACAGGTCATTGTTTTTGAACAAGATCTTTGCCAATTAGTGGAACAATTGAAACACTTTGTCTTTCTTGATATTTATGGTGCAATTCCTTATCAAAAAGTACAAGCTTATCGTTCAATGGTTCAAACTCGTTTTCCTAACTGTCGAAGTCATGTTGATGTATCAAGATTTTGTCTATGGCTTTGATTTCTGATTCTTTATGTATCGTAACAAATAGAAATTATAGATCATTATGGT